TATACCTACATTGTACCAATAAAAGAATTTAATAAAAAAAAAGAGTAGGAGAAAAAAAAAAGAAATTGAAAGGGAAGAAGTAATTCTGCAGTTATTACAGGAAGCTACCATTACCCTTATTCCAAAACCACACAAGGATCCAACCAAAAAAGAGAACTATAGACCAATCTCCTTAATTAATATATATGCAGAAATCCTCAACAAGATATTGGCATAAAGAATTCAACAAATTATTAAAAAGATCATAAATCATGACCAAGTAGGCTTCTTCCCAGGGATGCACAGATAGTTCTACATATGCAAATCAATAAATGTAACACATCACATAAATATAAGCAAGGACAAAAATTGTGTGATCATCTCAAAAGATGCAGAAAAAGCCTTTGACAAAATCCAGCATCTGTTCATGATAAAAACACTGAAGAAAATAGTTATAGAAGGACTTTATCTCAGTCTCAAAGTCATTTATGACAAACTTACTGCCAATATCATATTAAATGGGGAAAAATGGAAAGTTTTCCATCTAATATTAGGAATAAGCTAAGGATGTCCTCTATCACCACTCCTGTTCAACATACCATAATACTTGAAACATTAGCAACAGTAATTGGCAAGAAAAAGAAATAAAAGGGAAATGTATAGGAAAGGAAGAAGTCAAATTATCATTATTTACAGATGACAAGGTCCTCTACAAAGAAGATCCCCCCAAAATCCAACATTATAATTATCTTAAAATTAGATATATTAGAAATATATTAAAATATAATTATCTTATAAATAATAACCAAATTTAGTAAGGTAGCAGGATACAAAATCAACACATAAAAATCAATAGTGTTCCTGTTTATTAATTATAAACCCACTGATAAAGAAATGAGGGAAAAAGCCATTCCTAATAGCACTAAGAAAACTTAAATAGTGAGGAATTAACCTAATTAAGGACATAAAAGACCTCAAAAACTACAGTACTCTCAAAAAGGAATTAAAGGGCCGGGGCTCAGTGGTGTCGCTGCCTGCTTCGCAAACTCAAGGTCCCGAGTTCAATCCCCAGTACCAAAAATAAAAAAAAGGAATTGAAGATGACATCAGAAAATGGAAAGATATACCCTGATCCTGGATAGGCAGAATCAATATGGTCAAAATGGCCAAATTTCAGAATTGATACACAGATTTATCACAATCCCAATCAAAATCCCCATAGCATTCTTCATAGAACTGGAGAAAACAATCCTAAAATTCAAACGGAATCAGAAGAGAGCTAGAATAACAAAAGTAATCCTGGGTGAAAAAGCAAAGTGGGAGGCATCACAATCCAGGACTTGAAGTTATATTACAAGCTACTGTGATAAAACAGCATGGTACTGGCACAAAAAAGGCATGAGGATCCATGGAACAGGACAGAAGATGCAGAAACAATCCCAAGTACATTTAAGTATTTGATCTTTGAAAAAAGAGTCCAAAAACACACACTGCAGGAAAGATAGCTTCTTTAATAAATGGTGTTTGGCAGACTGGCTATCCACATGTAGCAGATTGAATCTAGACACATAATCTCTCACCATATATTAAACTAAAATCTAAATGAATCAAAGAACTAAATGTTAAACCAGAAACAACCTGCTGGAAGGCAAGATAGGTCAAACTCTTAAAGTCATAGGTGTAGGCAAGGACTTTCTGAATGGAACTCCAGTCGCACAAAAAATAGTTCCAAGAATCAACAAGTGGGTCCATATCATATTAAAAAGCTTCAGCACAGCAAAAGAAACAATCAATAGAATGCAAAGACAACCTAGAGAATGGGAACAAATTTTTGCCTGCAATTCCTCAGAGAGAGGACTCATATCTAGAATATACAAAGAGTTCAAAACATTAGATCCCTCAAAATAAAAGACCCAATCAAACAATGGGCATGTGAAATGAACAGACATTTCTCAGACAAAGAAGTAGAAATAGCAAATCAATACATGAAGAAATGCTCAACACTGTTGGCCATTAGAGAAATACAAATTAAAACAACACGGAGATTCCATCTTACCCTAGAAAAATGGCCATCATCAAGAAATCACACAACAAATGCTAGAGAGGATGTGGGAAAAAAAAAAACCCTTCTACACTCTTGGTGGGAATGTAAACTGATACAACTTCTATGGAAATCAGTATGGAGATTCCTCAAAAAACTAAAACTAGAAATTCCATTTGACCCAGCTGTTCCCATTCTAGGTATCTTCCTGAAAGAGTTAAAACATCATATTACAGAGATACATGCATACCCATGTTTATAGCAGCACAATTTATAATAGCTAAATCTTGGAAGCAGCCTATATGTTCATCAGCAGGTCAATGGTTAAAGAAAATGTGGTACTTACACACAATGGAGTAGTACTCTCCCATAAAGAAAGATAAACTTATCAGAAAATGGATGTACCTTGAGACCAAAATATTAAGTGAAATAAATCAGACATATAAGCTCAAATATCAACTGTTTCTCTTATATGATAAAACTAAAGTAGAAACAAAGAGCAAAATAAAGACAGATAATAGGAAGTAGGGTGACAGATCTTTTTTCAAATGGGAAGGGGATCAAAAGATAGAGGGAAGGGAGAGGGAGGGATGGGATAAGAGATACAAAATAGAATTAGGATGTGTTATGTACATGTACCAACTTCATACAAGGAATGTAAACATTATGTACTATGAACATGTACAAAAAAATAAAGGAATGGGGTCAAGGGATGGGTAGAGGGGGGAGGAAGAGAAGGGAAAGTTTATGCAAAAAGGAATTAAGATGTGTTATGTACATGTACCAATGTAAACATTATGTACTAAACATATGTACCAATAAACTAAAATGATAAGAAAAGAAAAAGAAAGTAGCAAGAATGATGGGATAAATATATTCAAAGCAACAGGGGAGTATTCTGAGGTTGATTAATGGCAATGCATCTTTTACTATTTTTAAATAACTATATTTTTTGATCACACATTCATACTAAAACATATCAGACAATCTGTTAATTTTTATTGGAGAAATCCTTACTGGACTCCTTGGTGCTTCTGCTTGTTTGTACTGGCTGACCTCTAGGTTTGCTATAGTTTTGCCTGTATTGCTATGGTATTGCCTGTAACCCTCTTAGGAATTCTTTTCTCCTTCTGTGTTGTACCTGTTTCCTTTTCCTCTCTTGGTCTATTCTTTTTATGGAAATGACTCCAATAGCTTCACGAGAAAGTGTCCATGAGGCAAAATCTTTCAGATATTTTTTGTATGGGATATCTTTACTACACTCATACTTGATTGCTAGTTTGGTTAGTAATCCTTTTGTATCTGTGGGGGATTGTTTCAGACACCCTATTGGATACCAAAACCTGTTGAGGTTCAAGTTCCTTATATAAAATGCAGTAGTATTTGCAAACTATCCACATCCTCCCATATACTTTAAATCATTTCTAGGTAACTTAAATACCTAATATAGATGCCATATAAAAACTTGTTACACTGTACCATTTGGGGAATAATGACAAGGAAAAAAAACTTGTATATGTTCAGTATAGATAGAAATTTTTGTCTAATATTTTCAACCCTTGATACAGGGGCTGACTATATAGAATTTTGCCTGAATATCATTTTATCAGACCTGAAGGCATTGTTTCATTGTCACTGTTGAGTCTAATGCCATTCTGATTCTTTTATAATCCTCATAATTTTTCCTTTCTATCACTTTTCTGTCATTGTAATGCAGTTTTGGGGAAAAGCAGAGGTAAGTGAGATTTGAAAAGGCCACTTTTAACCAGAAATTCTGTGCTGGGCATTATATAGGCAAGATATGTATTTTACCTTTATGGATGAAGAAATAGTTAAAAGTCTTGGACACACTCACAGAGGTAGTAACAGCAGGGGTTCAAGTCCAAGTTTGTCTGGTTCCAAAGGTTGATGCTTTTTCATTGTGTCTCCCTCCCTGATACGCTTCTAGACTAGGACTTTTTTGCTTAACTCTGGAAAGAAGATCAAAAGAAAATTTTGGAGGCTGTTTTAGGCAAAACAAGAATTGTGAAGGCTCAAGTTAATACTATTCCCCATTTTTGTAGTTAATTTTAAAGTACCATGTTTCTGCACACACCAACCTTGGTTTGAGCAGCAGGAATTCTATTCCACTTTGTTTTTTTGAGACAGGGCATGTATATCAGGCTATTTAGTTCAAGGCTGGCCTTGAACTTGTGGCAATCCTCCTGCTGCACCCTCCAAAGTGCTAGGATTACAGGTGTGTGCCACCTCTCCTGGCTATTCCACTCTTTATGTAGATGAGGCGCAGAAATGCTACCCATAGATCTAGCAAATTATTGTCACAGATGAACTAGAACTTTGGCAAACAGGATCATTTTAGCCCTTACAGATTACCTTTTTGCCAATATTTTATTATTTTAAGTGTACAGAGAAATGGAAAGAGATGTATAGTAAACACCCATATACCCAGCAATAGATGTAATTGCCAACATCATCCATCATCTATCAATCTCCGATTGTACTTTTTTTGTGGTGTACTGGAGATTGAACATAGCGTGACATTCCCAGCCTTTTTTATTTCTTTTGAGACAGGGTCTTGCTAAGTTGCCTAGGCTGGAATTGAATTTGTGATCCTCCTGTCTCTGCCTCCCAGAGTGCTGCTGGTGTGCCCAGCTCAGATTGTACCCTTGAAGTACTTTCAACTAGCTTTCCAGAATCTTCCCCATTTATTTATTTTTTTTAAATCCAGAGAATGATTTGAGAAATTCTAGTTTTAAACAACTTGGAATTTAGCCAAAGATCTGAGTACTTGCTACATGCCTAAGATGTGATGAAGGAAATATAAGGCAGTATTTATATCCAGGAAGAATTTATAAGTTAGTCAAGGAAGACAGTAGATGATGAACAATTTCTGAGCATATAAATTAGAATAGTCCAAGTATATTCTTTCTGATTTAATATATAAAATTATGAACTACTGATAAAATATTACAAAAGTATAGGCTTTAAGTGATAAATTTACCTCAGACCCCCAGAATTTATGTACATATATATATACAGAAAAATATTCCCATATTATGAACAAAGAATTCAAATACATACATATATACATTATATATACATATAAATATATATAGAAAAATATTCCCATGTTATAAACAAAGAATTCAAATCTATAGCTCATTGTTTCCTGCCTTTTTTTTCATGTCTAAAATTTCCCTCTGCTCATGATCAAAAAAAGGTACACAGTAATAATATACCTTCCTACCTCTGTCTCCTATCTACCGGCTTCCTTCCCCAGAAGCAACCTTTCTAAGACCAGTTTCCTTCAGTCTAGAGCTACTTATTGCATATAAAAAGCTTATCCATGTGTATATGAACATATACTAAAATATAAATGGGGGCATATTATACATACTGCTCCATACTTCTTGAATACTTCACTTTGGATCCCTCACACCATAATGTGAATTGGTCTTCCATTCTTCCTCCCATGCTGCCTCTTCCTTTGTACTCAGATCATAAATATTTGTTTCTTACTTGTAAAGGGAAGAAACTGAGATGACAGTGTTCTTACCCATTCATCATCAGCACATTTTGTAAAGAACTGAGTCAGATGCAGTGGCTCATGTCTGTAATCCCAGCATGTGGGAGGCTAAGGCAGAAGGATCACAAGTTTGAAGCCAGCCTGGTAGTGAGATCTTGTCTCAAGCACACACACACACACATACACACACACAAACACACACAATTCTACCTAAAAGCTAGAGAACAAGAGCTGCCTGAAGTTTTTTTGAAACTAGATTTAGTTGGAAATAATTAGGGACAGGAGATCTACAAGATGAAGCAGTGTTCATCTGAAAGGGCAAACCACCCTGACTTGTTAAGTGAATGGACACTCAGATTGTAGTCCCCAATTAAATGTACCAATTCCCATCAGAGCATGCTAAGTTTTTAACACATTTAAATATGTATTCTTTCACTCATTTTCACTTTGCTTTTCTGAGTCATGCTGATTCCAAATAAAAGCAAGTAATTCTCTGATATACAATCAATTCATCCATTTAAAAAATCTTAATTGCCTTTTGGCCCTCAGAATTCCTATACTTTATTCACCTTCCTTGAATCCCTTCAATCAGAAATGAAAGATCATGATAAGTGTAACTTTTTATTAATAACCTTGGAACAAATGGATTAATAATAATTCCTTATAGTTATATAGCATTTTACAATTTTGAAATAATTTTCACATATACCAATAAACCCTCACAACATCCCTGTGAGGGAGGTAGGGTAGGTGTTATTTTCCTATTAACAGTAAGGAGAACAAGGCTCAGAGGTGAAATAAGGTCACACAGTTGGTAAATAATGAAGCCAGGACTAGAACCTAGGCCTTCTGACATGCTGCCTCCCTGAGAACATTTAAGTAATATCTATGCTATACAATGAACATTTCTCTCCTATGATGTTAATAAGGTTTTTTAAATTTTATATTAATTTTCCCTCACATCCCTAAACATTCAAACTGTGATGAGACATTTCTTCCTTGTTATTGGACTATTTCTCAGATGTGTCAAGCACTATCCTAAGATGAAACTTATGACTAAGTTTTGAGGATCGTTGGTTACAAATTCTAATTTATGATATGAAGATTTATTTCAGAAAATTCTGCATAAGTATTCCTATGACAGACATGTCAAATTTACTTAAACTAAATAAAACAGGTCTGTTCATATTCTCAAAAGCTTTGCAATCTTACCATTAAGACTTTTAGATGTGGAAATATTGGAAGGTGTTTAGTAACATTATTGGGAAACTTATGAAGAGTGCACCTAAATGCAAGTCATATGACACTAATTTTTTTCCTTGTTGGCCTTACAGAGGACAGGGAGCCATTAGAGTCTGCTTTCAGGTATGATCCCACCTTATGTGTGATATCCTCTGTAATAAGCTAGAAAAATGATCTGAGTTATAATAATAGGAGGGTTTAGGCAGTAGTGACCAAAGCATATATGCATATGGTGGGAAGAAAACATTTGTTCTTCAGTGATTTTGCTAGGTCCAGTGTAAATTACTTATCAAGGCAGATTTTAAGCTATAGCATCTCTACTAAATTTAAAAAAATGTAAAATATGATAGAGTTATCAACTTTGAATACAAGTGAGTGTAACTGACCCAAAACTACATGTCAAAAGCAAAGTGAAGTTCAAGAGGCATGAAAGGCAAGGGATAAAACCCAATTACTGCTCTGGTACGGACTGAAAAACAAAGAGCAAACACAAACCTTCAGGTTCAAGTGAACCAGAACATCAGGCATGTAAAGCAAGTTTTAAAAATATGAAAATGTGACTGAGCTGTATTATCAGGAATGATATTTTTAAAATTTCAGTTATAACCTTTTAAATTTAAGGGCAATGGGAAGAAACAAGCCTATGGGTGATTGGTACAGAAAACAAATGGGAACTAGAAAAACAGTCAAAGTGGGAAATCAGGGAAGACCAAGGACCTTAAGTACATTCAAAATGGATTTAGAACCTCTCTAAATCTATACTTTCCAAAACTGTTTCCTAAATTGAGAGATTTGGTCAAAAGAGTTAGTGATAATGAAAGTGACATTTTTGTCTTACAAAAAGAAAGTACTTATTTAAATGTAGATTAGAAATTAATGATTAATTCACTGACTCAGCTGTAGAAACTGAAACTTAAGTGCTGCTGTCAGTGATAAATGGTAGAAAACTTTCAAAAATAGAATTGACATGATAGGACTCAACATTAAAACTATTAAGAAACAAGTACTTTTGTACTTCAAGTCTAATGAGAAAACATATTCTTATTAAAGAAATCTAACAGTTTAAACTAATGTGAAAAAATGTTAAAGCTATATTTAAGTTTTCTAAGATAAGAAGATCTAGAATGCTCTATTCTGGTATTCCGGTATACAAGCTCAAAATCAACTACACTTTTTAAAGGCATCTAGACTAGCCTAGACTGTATGTCTTACATAGTATCATTGTCATCATCATCTTCATGTTTTCTCTTCAGTGGGTTTGATTCATTGGCTGTGTTCTGTGTAGAAACCATGTTGGTGGTAATAAGAATATTTTTGGGTCCAATCATTGAAGGATTAATCAGAACATTTTGAACTGCAGTAGTTGAAGGAACTGTAAATAGAGAAGAAAATCCCCATAAACTTTGAATTATCCAGAATCTAAAACATATGGTCAAAAGTAAATAATAAAGCTTGGTGTAATTCTAATAAAAATTTCAATACAATGGAGTGCAACTACATCATGGAACAGTGGTGGTGAACCTAAGGCATGTACGCTGCAGTGGGTTGTTTATATTACTGAAAGCTCTAAAAGGTTCGTCATCACTGTCATAGAAGAAACACTGGTAATTACATTGCATTAAAAGTGTGGTTTTTTTTTTTGGTACCAGGGATCAAACTGGGGACCCTGCGCTTGCGCAGCAGTCACTGGAACCACTGAGCTAAATCCCTGGACCCTAAAAGTTTTTTTTTTTTGAGACAGGGTCTTGCTATGTGTAGTTCCAGCTGGTCTTGAACTCACTATATAGCCCAGGCTGGCCTCAATCTCACAGCAATCCTCCTGTCTCAGCCTCCTGAGTGCTGGGATTACAGGCATGTGTCTCCATTTCATTAAGAGTTTTAATTAAATTTTTAAAATGTTTATTTTATCAGAAATTAATAATTCTAAGTTAAAGGGTACAATGTGTCATTTGATCTATGTATATAGAAAGATTAAACCTACTTAAATATATCTAATGCAAAGTTAGAGAGATTTTATTATATTTCAACCATCTGAAATTTCAATTAGTACTTAGTGCACTGGATTCATCATGCAACATACTAAATGCACATGTTTAAGGCCAGGAATCATGTTTTCCATATAGGCCAATGTTTTAAAAGTTGTTTATTGTATGCAGGTGGGTTTTAAAAGATGTGAATATATGCATTACTAAACTATGCTACTTCAGAATTCTATTTAATATGATTCCAACCATATGTATATACACTTTATATTTATATATCCTTCTATGAAGTGAGTAAAGATACACTTTTCATTTGAATTTGCATTTACATTCTGGATTATACACACATATTTGTCACAAAGTTGTATGATTTTCTTTTACCTTAAGTGCTTTTTCCCTGAAGATGCCTTATGTTTGAGGACCCCAACATTTTTTAGTTCATAGCATTCTTTGACAATCTGATGAACATGTTGAATATTCTCCCCTCTCCATGAAAATGTTACATATATATAAAACTTCATACAATTTAAAAAGACTAATTTACAGCATTACTGCCACCTTCCTAGTGAAATTACTCCCAAATTTTGTCCCCCCCCCCATTACCTGGTTTGACAGGTGTGGACTGAGAAGATGGAATCTGCATGGTAAATCTTTGGCTTGTCACTGACACTGGAGTTGCCACTTTATTTGAGACAGACATTGTTTGTGGGGCTGCTGTAGTTAAAATTAACAGACCATGTTAGACAACTTATTAGATAGATTTATATTCTACATTCCTTAGCTTATCAGAAATTACCTTCAAAGCACAGGAAACTAAGGGAAGGTGACAAAGTATCATTAGAAATAAGAGAAAAGTGATTTTTCAAAAGTTTACAAACTTATTTAGATGCTATAAAACTGGTTTGGGGGTGTGGCTCAGTGGTAAAGCACTTGCCTAACATGTCTGAGTTTCTAGGTTCCATCTCTAGCACTACAAAACAAATGAACAAGAACCCCAAGATTCAGTACAGTATGGTGGCAAAAAATGTAGGCTTTGGAGCCTATCTTGTCTGAGTTTGAATCTAGGCTTTATCACCTATTAGCTGGGTTTCCTTGGGAAACTATCTAATCTTTTTGTACCTCAGTTTTCTCATCTGTGAAATTGGGACAATAGCACCCATTTCACAAAATTCTTGTTAGAATTAAGTAAAAATAACCCATATAAAGTTCTTCAAACTGTATCTAGTACAGAGTAGGCAAATTTTAGCTATACAAAACCTTGAAGTTGGGAGTTTAATACATTTTTACTGGCTTGAACCACTGGTGGTACATGCAAGATTGTTCCATTAGGCAGCTTGTACCACTGGTGGTACAAATGGATATAATCACTTCTATTAGCTTTTTTACTAATAAAATTAATAAAAAGTCTATAGACTAAATTTAGTTAGTTGCTTTTATTTGAATAATTACTGCCCAAATATAAAATTTAATATTATTCATACCAATTAAAATTATTACAGTAATCAACAGATTTATTTCATTAAATTAAAAGAAATTTATTTATATTCATGAATAGTTTGTCAATAATTAATTCTCTATATTGTAACATGGAAATCTTACAAGTACCCCATTGCTGGTGCATATAATAGGCATTTATAACTGCTATATCACAAACAAACTGTATTATAATTTTTTATATCATTTTAATGTTTTCCTTAAGAACTGTAATATGATGACATTTAGTCTGTTAAATCAATGCCTTTCTTCGCATTATTGTAATCAAAGACCCTCCTGAGAAGCAGTATAAGCCACCCGATGGGACAGTCATACATATACTACCAGTGGTTCAAGCTGTTAGGAATGATTGAATCAAATCGGAGCTGCCCCAGCTACGAGACATACAAATTACGACCCCATGAAGAACATGTTAAAAGACTCTAGACATCTATTAATTACCTTAGGTGTCACTTTTAATGTTTGTCACTTGTTGAGAATTAGAGGATGTCTATTATGCCTATGAATCTAAATCAACATGCATCTAACAAAAAAGAAGCCAATCAAATAGACTTGAGATCCCCAGGTGGGCACAAGAAACTTACTCCTTTTTTATGTTCAGAGACTTTTTAAGCAGAAAGTGATCTTGGAGATAACCTAGTCCAAAACTCTCAGCTAAATTCTATTCCTTACTTTTTTCTGTGGTGCTGGGTATCAAACCCAGGGTTTTGTACAAGTGTTCTACCACTGAACTGTACCCCCAACTCCTACTCCTTATTTTAAGGCACATCTCAAATATTGACCCTATTTTATAAAATTTTCCTCAATTTGCTCGGTTAGAAAGCTCATTTCCTGCCTCTGAAATTCCCTTAACATTTCATAGGAGTCTTTTTATTAGTATCTTATCTCACTCACTAGCTTATAAACCTTGACTAACATTTTCATCCTTGTGAGCATAAGCTCTTGTGCCTTGTTCCTAGCAGGTGCTTAACAAATGTTTGATTAATGGATTAATTTTGCAAGATTTAATATCTGTACTGGCATTGCCCTCAAAAAATATTTATGGAAATATGTCTAAGTTGTCCTTTGGGGATGTAGGCTTTCCATACATCCCTTCCCCCTGGAACTAGTCCTTTACCCAGGGACAGAGTTGCTTTTGGACAGTGCAACCAGCATCATCTTTAAGGAAAAAGGGGAAATAAAACCCAAAGGCACCCAGAAATCTGGGTTCCTATGCTTTCTTTCCCAAACCCAGAAGGTGGTACCTCACTCTAATATATCTCTATCCCTAGGCAAGCTTTCCCATGTATTAAGGAGTGGTCCAAAGAATTTGGTGGAGCTTAACGAGGCAATATAAGTATTTTATTTTGTCAAGAAAACAAAATTCCACAGTAAGTAGATGTTTTCTTGGCCATTAACTTAACAAATTGTTAAAACATTTAAATAGGTATGGAGTTAAGGCTTTAAAATTGAACAGAGCAGGTGTTCACATCTCAAAGTATATAAAATTAGTTTAAAATTTTAAAATTTAAAGTTTACATCTTTAATAATAGTTTTTGGTAGCACCCTCACTTTAGATTTTAAAAATCTCTAAAACATATAAAACAAATGACTAGGAATAAAAATCACAACTGAGAACTGAAATTTGTTAATTTGCCTAAAACATGTAACAGACTAGGACAGTGGTGGCGAACCTATACCACGTGTGCCACAGTGGGTCCTTGTTGTCACTGAAAACTCTAAAAGGTTTGCCAACACTGGACTAGGAGTTTAAAAATTGATACTGTCAAACATGCTGGTATATGGCTATAGTCCTAAACTATTTGGAAAGTGGAGGCAGGAGGATTGCTCGAGCCCAGGAATTTGAGACCAGCCTGGGCAACAGAGAGACCCTGTCTCAAAAAATAAAAATAAAAAACTGGTACTCAACATGAATCCACAGACAAGTAGTATATGGCAAAAAAATTATATAGACTATTATGCAAATTTCCATTCACAAAGATCATATGTAGGTAATTAGAAATATATACCTAATACTATATCAGGCTGGTTTTATTTTTGTGGTGCTGAGGACTGAACCCTTGCTCATGGTAGGCAGGGGCTTTCTACCACTAAGCTACATCCCCAGGCCATTCAAAAATTTTATTTTGAGACTGGGTCTTTTTTTTTTTTTTTTGGCACCGGGGAGCAAACTCAGGACCTTGTGCTTGTGAGGCAGGCGCGATGCCACTGAGCAAAATCCCCGGCTGAGACTGAGTCTTGCTATTTTGCCTAGGCTGGCCTTGAACTTGCGATCCTCTTTCTTTAGCCTCCCAAGTAGCTGGGACTATAGGCATACAACTCCATACCTGGCTCTAGGATCGGTTTAAATTGCTGAAATGTAACTTATATCCTGAGAAGTAGATGTAGTTCACACCTCAAAAATCAAATGCTTATACTAGAGGTATAAAATGGCTATAGGACTCGTTATAGGCAGTAGGATTTATAAAATTAATACTAGTGAAAGAAAGGGGACTTTCTTTTCCTGAAAGTATTTTGATTACTTTTTCTCAAGAAACCCAGCAAGAACAAATGAAAAAAAATCAAGAACTCTAATTACATTGTTTTCCTTGTTCAAACAATGACATTAACAAATAATGATTTGTTTTTCTTTTTTTTCTTTTTTTTTCAGTACTGGGGAGTGAACCCAGTGCCTTCACACTAAGCTACATCCCCAGCCCTTTTTTGAGACAGGGCCTTGTCAAGTTGCCTAGGCTGGGCTCAGACTTACATTTCTCCTGGCGTCAGCCCCCCACAGTGCTGAGATTACAGATACGTGCCACCATGCCTGGCTTAAATGATGGTTTCTAAACCCTATTCTCCACTAAAAGGAACCAGGGCTCTTTGAGAAGTGGTTAATTGCAGGACTAAGGTAGGAAAATACTGTATAAGATGGGATTAGAACATCTTGTGTCAGAAAGTAAGAATGTTCAAGGCCAGGGATGTAGCTCAGCTCAGCGGCACAGTGCCTGCCTGGCAAGTGGGAGGTCCTGAGTTTGATCCCTGGTATCAAACAAAACAAAACAAAAACAAAACAGAAAGAAAGAATCTTCAAACTATTATGGAGCTCTATCAAAAGGGATAGAGGACAGTTTGACAGGGCTTTCTCTGACCAAAATAGGTCAGTACTATTTTTTGTTTTTTGAGATAGGTTCTCCCTATGTTGCTCAAGCTAGTCTCTTACTGTTTAAAAATGGTTAGTAATAAAAAACGTAATTATATTTTAAAATCCTTAAGCTTTTCACATTTTGTCCTTTTTAAAACTATTCCCATTTTATACAGAAATTTCTAACAATAAGGCTGCTGCCTTAAGTGTGTTTGGCAACTGCATCTGTATAGACAGAAACAATACAGCAGAGGGTAAACTTGTTTCTGGTATCATAGTTAATACCAACAATGGTGTTGGGCAATGTTCAACTTTATACTCATTTGGGATCAGACTCTCTTTGCAGCTTTCTCATTTTGAAATCCAGGTAAAATGTGCACTTTTACTAGAGGATGACATACAAGAATTTCTGACTCACTTTTTGACTTGGATTATAGTTCAAAACCAAATGGTAAGGCACCTCTTTTTTACCAGCCAGAAAAGCTATTTCCCCCTTTTACTTACCTATAGTAGGAGTGGTAGGTCTGCTACTAACAGCACCAACACTTAACCGGGGAACTAGTCGTCCTTGACTAGGTCCCTAGGGGATTTAAAGAAAAGTTAGTTTTATTGTTATTAAGATTTGACATTTCAACTTAACCAAGAGTGAAATTATTAATGGATAACCCATGTCGAGAATGTCTTCTTTTTGCTTTCAGTGCTCTAAATCCAATATTTAAACTAGTTTTCACAAACATATATACATATACTTATCTATATAAAATTAGATATGAGTACATCTAACTCTGTATGGTATTTAAGATGGAGTCTTATCTGAATGGGGATAAGAGCTAACTTTCTTGTGATTTTTAATCTTCACTAGTTAATATTTTAATCCAAAAATAAATAAAACTCTCATAGCATAGAATTTCAGAAAACAAAGGCGGTCTAATACAGGGAGAAGTTTTTTCAGTGGTGGGAGAGCCTAAGGTCATATTTAAGAAAGCTGGTCCAACCCCTGATGGTATATTATTTACTCTATTATCAAATGTCACTAAAATCTATGACATAGTGGAAATATTGGGAGTTATGAGACCTGAGAATCAGGCATAGCTTTGCCATTCATCCCATAAATAAGTTCAGGCTCAGTTTACTAAAGTGAAAAAAAGTTTACTTGGGTAAATGAACGCTAAAGTTCCTTCTCCTCTAAAACTTTTTAAAATTCTTAAGCTTTGATCTCCTGCATTATCCACAGGAATCTGCTTTTTTTACAAATTCCCTTATTATATCCCATATTTTTTAAAAGCAAAGTTGACTAAAAATCTTACCTTTTTTATTAAGGACTTCAGCCTATAGTTTGGAGCTGTTAAGCAGTATCTATCAGGTGGTAGTCTAGGTCCTGCATATGGTTTAATCAGTGGCAAAGGCGTTTGATTTTTCTGCCTTGCAATATCCAGTAAAAACTAAGAGGACAACAAATTCTCATTAGAACTACAACTTTAAAAATTGTAAGTAAAAATAACTTCAAATAAATGTTTGCTCACATCTCTCGGGGGAGGAGAGGTAAAAGATTGGTCAGCACGACACTGGATTGCCAGTCTGACATCATCTGCATCAACATTAGGTTTCTTAGCATGGCTTGAATAAATTTTTGCATCATCCAGAATTGTAGTCACATACCCTTTAAGAATAAAACAATTTTTCTTAATCATAGGAAGACAGCTTAATATTTATGGCCACTTAACTTTAGTAAAATGTTCCACTAATTCCAGAAAAGTTTATGAATTTTGGTTTTAATTGTCTAATTGTCCTATTCATATGATACATTTGAAACAGATATAATAGTACACTGTAAATACTATTGTCCTATAACCTGAGCTCCTTTTTTAGTGCTTTATTTCTATATTAATAACATAACTTGGTTGAAAATGTTCTTACAATAAAATGATCTTTTCTAATTCACAAGTTTGACAAGTTTTTTCTCAACTTACGGAACGCAAATTCCAACATTTGATTTATAACCCTTGGTTCATACTCTGTGATTCCCATATCCTTCAGGATCTGTGCCATCACCTGTGGATTCAAATAAAAATGCCAGATGCATAACCTAGGTAATGAATATCAAGACTGGATTGAAGGTAGTATTTATAATACAAGGTCTTCCTTCTCTAGGCTCCAAACTCCTATTCATCCTTGTCCTCTCAAGTGAGTGGCAATGATCACACCAAATAAGTTACATGCTTTTGCTCAAAACTTGATTTATTTATTTATTTATGTATTTATTTACTTATTTATGGCAGAGGTTGGCTTTCCCAGTAGAGGCAGGGGTGGCTCCAGCTGGTTGTCATTTTCGGATGTAGTCGTGGGGGAAGCTAGCATCAGAAGCACAGGCATGGAGACTCAGGGCTCACGGATGGGGTGAGACAACGAGGCGGAGGCCTGAGGCCCAGGAGACAAAGCAGGGCTGCCAGGCCCGCTCACTGTAACGCCGCGACTCTCTAGAGGGGCTCAGCTGAGCTGCAGAAGAGTGCCCCGGGGGCCAAGGAGAACCCGCATGACCTCTACTCCGGGCTGGCCCCCCTCCCCCCGCGCTGGGTTGACGCCCACGCGCGAGCCCACCCTCAAGGCCTTGTCTGGGCCTGGCTCACAGGCTCCCGGCTGTGCTGGTCTTTCCGTCCTGTCTCTCATCCTTCGCACTTACCAGTGCATCTCTGGGAGCGTTCTTGGGAGGCGCCATCTTGCCGGACTCCATGTTACCCAGCCTCTTGTCGTCAGGGGAGAGAGAGCAGTTCACTGACTCCTCGCTCAGGCCCCACCCCTATGGGGGCGGGAGGTGGGTTACTGAGCTGGCCGGCCTTTTACAGCCATTTCACAGCCATTTCACAGCCCTTTCGCAGCTCTGGTCTGTGAGGTCTCCCGGAGACAGCTCTCTGAGAGCTGTGCCCAGGCGTCGGGCATCTGGTGCCCAGCATCAGAGAGAGTGGGAGCCAGCTAGAAGGACTGGAAAAGGCGTGTAAGCTTTCTTCTGAGAGTTGTGCCGGGAGCTAAGTGATGTAGAAGAGTGGAGAAGCTTGTCTTCCCAAAGTTGTTCTCCAGCAAGGTACACAGATGGGCTACCCTCATCTTGGCTGGGCTGCCTCCTCAAACCCTCTGCTACCACACTGTCTCGGTCCAGCCCCCTGAAATTTCCTGTAGGAGCCGTGCCTCCACTTGCCTCAGTATTAGGATTGCCAGGTCAAACACAGAACACCCGGTTACACTTGAATATCACACCAACAAGGAATATATTTTTGTATAGGTGTATCCCACATACTGCATGGACTATACTGATACTTACAATACAAAGTTATTTGGTGTTGATCTGACACTGAGATTTAACTGAGCATTCTAGATTTTTATTTGATAAATCTGACAACCCCACCCAATAGCTCTACACACCTAGGACTTTGGTCAGTGGGACTTAGGTCAGCTCCTGTCGTGCTTCACATCCTGCCATGGCTGCCCATTTTACACTGATGGACAGCCAAAACCTTAATTGCCTTAAAGTTTCCACCGAAGCCCCTCAGCTTTGTCGCTTAGTCTGGGCAGCTCTGTTCCCATTGAAGCCCACATAGGGCCCTTCCTTGCCTTCCAGATTGCTCCTGACACATTTCTCCTCAGAACAGTCTGAGTGAATTTCTTTTTTTTCCCATGGTACTGGAGATCGAACTCAGGACCTTGTGCTTGCAAGGCAGATGTGGCGCCACTGAGCTAAATCCTCGGCTGAGTGAGTGAATTTCTTGAGACCCATGCATTCAGCCTGAGTTACTTTTCAAAAAAGAAGCGTCAGTCCACCATTTCTGGCTTAAAAAGTTCCTGAGAACTGCTTTACACCTTCATCCACTAACACCCAAGCATCACTCCATTTCAGGAAAAGACACCATGACTCACCTGAGAGTAGGCAGTCTCATCCCCACTTTCCCTCACAATTCTCAAGTAATACAATAATGAGTCTGGTGAGGATGACCTCCCAGTTTCAAGATATCTGTCTGTGTCTGTATCTCTACCCAGTGGTACCATGGAATGAAGTTGAAGCCAACAGCCTTACTCATCAAGATTATAGAAATTGGTCTCCAAAATAGGGTCCTCCCATAGGTTTTTAAAAAAATTATTTTTATTACTATATGTTTTCAGTAATGATTACATTCATTGTGGGGAGTTTGTACATGTATATAATACATCTTATTTTTTAAAGTCCCTTTTACCTCCCCTTCCCCTCCCTCCATCTCTACAGTCCCCATACAACTTGCAAAAGACCTATCTTCCTATTTCCTATTATTTATCTTTTATTCTGCTCTTTAATTTATTTAAAGTTTGGGTTTCTTGTATAAGAGGAACGCTGTGATATTTAAGCTAGTATATCTGATTTATTTCACTTAACATTAATTTCAAAGTGGATCCATTTTCCTACAAATGACTCAAATTTATACTTTATGGCAGAGTAGTACTCCATTGAGTATAAATACTCCATTTTCTTTATACATTCATCTGTTGATGGACATATAGGCTGCCTCCCAGATTTAGATATTACAAACTGTGCTGCTATAAACATGGGTTTGCATGTATCACTGTAATATAATGTCTTTAACTCTTAGAAAGATAAGTAGAGGCCAGGGATGTAGCTCAGTGACACTGTGCCTGCCTGGCAAGTGCAAGGTCCTGAGTTTGATCCTAGTACTGTAAAACAAAACAAAAAACCCACAAAAACCCCACAAACACACACACACACACACAAACCTTAATAGAAAGATAAGTAGAAGGGGAATAGCTGGGTGAAATGGAATTTCTATTTTTAGTTTTTTGGAAGCATTTCCATACTGCTTTCCACAGTGGTTGCACTGGTTTACTTTCCCACCAAAAATGTCAAAAGGTTCCTTTTCCCCTGCAGCCTCTCTAGCATTTGTTTTTACTTGATTTCTTGGTGATAGCCATTCTTTCAGGAGTAAGATAAAATCTCAGTGTTGTTTTAATTTGAATTTCTCTACTGGCCAGAGATGTTGAGCATTTTTCATATATTCAATGGATATTTGTATTTCTTTTTTTTCCCATTAAGTTTATTGGTACATTTTAGGTATAAAATACAGTTACATTCATCACTGAGATCTTGTACCATTATATCAGTATCTTGGTTCTTTTTTTTTTCCCTCCTCCTGCCCTCCCTTCACCCCCTCCACGCTTCCCTATTTGTAAAGACATTGTTTCCATTTTTTTTCCTTTTCTCATATTTTTTCTTTTCCCTTCTTTCCTTTCCCCTACCCCTCCCACTTTCCCTACTCCTTTAGACCTTTTCTTCCTACAACACAATATCAATTATAAATTTTTAAAGTTACAATATCAAAATTTAGAGGACATTACCACAGATTTTACAGAATTTAAAAGGATATAGAAAGCATATTACAAAAATCTTTTTTGAAATAAATT